GCACCAAGCCTAACCAACCAGCACCAAGCCTGACCAACCAGCACCAAGCCTGACCAACCAGCACCAAGCCTAACCAACCAGCACCAAGCCTAACCAACCAGCACCAAGCCTGACCAACCAGCACCAAGCCTGACCAACCAGCACCAAGCCTGACCAACCAACACCAAGCCTGACCAACCAGCACCAAGCCTAACCAACCAGCACCAAGCCTGACCAACCGGCACCAAGCCTTACCAACCCTCACCAAGCCTGACCAACCACCACCAAGCCTAACCAACCAGCACCAAGCCTAACCAACCCTCACCAAGCCTGACCAACCACCACCAAGCCTAACCAACCCTCACCAAGCCTGACCAACCACCACCAAGCCTAACCAACCAGCACCAAGCCTAACCAACCCTCACCAAGCCTGACCAACCCTCACCAAGCCTGACCAACCAGCACTAAGCCTGACCAACCAGCAGCAAGGCTGACCAACCACCACCAAGCCTAACCAACCAGCACCAAGCCTAACCAACCCTCACCAAGCCTGACCAACCAGCATCAAGCCTAACCAACCCTCACCAAGCCTGACCAACCCTCACCAAGCCTGACCAACCAGCACTAAGCCTGACCAACCAGCACCAAGCCTGACCAACCACCACCAAGCCTAACCAACCAGCACCAAGCCTGACCAACCCGCACCAAGCCTAACCAACCCGCACCAAGCCTAACCAACCCGCACCAAGCCTAACCAACCAGCACCAAGCCTAACCAACCAGCACCAAGCCTAACCAACCAACATTAAGCCTAACCAACCAACATTAAGCCTAACCAACCAGCACCAAGCGTGACCAACCAGCACCAAGCCTAACCAACCAGCACCAAGCCTAACCAACCAACATTAAGCCTAACCAACCAGCACCAAGCGTAACCAACCAGCACCAAGCCTGACCAACCAGCACCAAGCCTGACCAACCAGCACCAAGCCTGACCAACCAGCAGCAAGCCTGACCAACCAGCACCAAGCCTGACCAACCAGCACCAAGCCTGACCAACCAGCACCAAGCCTAACCAACCCTCACCAAGCCTGACCAACCAGCACTAAGCCTGACCAACCAGCAGCAAGCCTGACCAACCAGCACCAAGCCTGACCAACCAGCACCAAGCCTGACCAACCAGCACCAAGCCTAACCAACCCTCACCAAGCCTGACCAACCAGCACTAAGCCTGACCAACCAGCAGCAAGCCTGACCAACCAGCACCAAGCCTGACCAACCAGCACCAAGCCTGACCAACCAGCACCAAGCCTAACCAACCCTCACCAAGCCTGACCAACCAGCACTAAGCCTGACCAACCAGCACCAAGCCTGACCAACCAGCACCAAGCCTGACCAACCAGCACCAAGCCTAACCAACCCTCACCAAGCCTGACCAACCAGCACTAAGCCTGACCAACCAGCACCAAGCCTGACCAACCAGCACCAAGCCTAACCAACCCTCACCAAGCCTGACCAACCCTCACCAAGCCTGACCAACCAGCACCAAGCCTGACTAACCAGCACTAAGCCTGACCAACCAGCACCAAGCCTGACCAACCAGCACCAAGCCTGACCAACCAGCACCAAGCCTGACCAACCCTCACCAAGCCTGACCAACCAGCACCAAGCCTGACTAACCAGCACTAAGCCTGACCAACCAGCACCAAGCCTGACCAACCAGCACCAAGCCTGACCAACCAGCACCAAGCCTAACCAACCAGCACCAAGCCTGACCAACCAGCACCAAGCCTGACCAACCAGCACCAAGCCTAACCAACCAGCACCAAGCCTAACCAACCAGCACCAAGCCTGACCAACCCTCACCAAGCCTGACCAACCAGCACCAAGCCTGACTAACCAGCACTAAGCCTGACCAACCAGCACCAAGCCTGACCAACCAGCACCAAGCCTGACCAACCAGCACCAAGCCTAACCAACCAGCACCAAGCCTGACCAACCAGCACCAAGCCTGACCAACCAGCACCAAGCCTAACCAACCAGCACCAAGCCTAACCAACCAGCACCAAGCCTGACCAACCAGCACCAAGCCTGACCAACCAGCACCAAGCCTGACCAACCAACACCAAGCCTGACCAACCAGCACCAAGCCTAACCAACCAGCACCAAGCCTGACCAACCGGCACCAAGCCTTACCAACCCTCACCAAGCCTGACCAACCACCACCAAGCCTAACCAACCAGCACCAAGCCTAACCAACCCTCACCAAGCCTGACCAACCACCACCAAGCCTAACCAACCCTCACCAAGCCTGACCAACCACCACCAAGCCTAACCAACCAGCACCAAGCCTAACCAACCCTCACCAAGCCTGACCAACCCTCACCAAGCCTGACCAACCAGCACTAAGCCTGACCAACCAGCAGCAAGGCTGACCAACCACCACCAAGCCTAACCAACCAGCACCAAGCCTAACCAACCCTCACCAAGCCTGACCAACCAGCATCAAGCCTAACCAACCCTCACCAAGCCTGACCAACCCTCACCAAGCCTGACCAACCAGCACTAAGCCTGACCAACCAGCACCAAGCCTGACCAACCACCACCAAGCCTAACCAACCAGCACCAAGCCTGACCAACCCGCACCAAGCCTAACCAACCCGCACCAAGCCTAACCAACCCGCACCAAGCCTAACCAACCAGCACCAAGCCTAACCAACCAGCACCAAGCCTAACCAACCAACATTAAGCCTAACCAACCAACATTAAGCCTAACCAACCAGCACCAAGCGTGACCAACCAGCACCAAGCCTAACCAACCAGCACCAAGCCTAACCAACCAACATTAAGCCTAACCAACCAGCACCAAGCGTAACCAACCAGCACCAAGCCTAACCAACCCGCACCAAGCCTAACCAACCAGCACCAAGCCTAACCGGCCCCGTCAACGCTCCCGTCACAGGGAAGTCAATGGGAACGGTCTGATGGTGCGTGATCCAGAGCACTTAAGTCAACACCCAACCTGTTCTGGTTCCTACCTCCGTCTCACTCATTACTAGCACCGGACGTGACTCGCTCGACCGTCATGACCCGCTCCTAACTCCACCAAAATTAAACAACAGCGACTCTGCCACACAACAAGTTCTGAAAATAACTTTTTGTCAGAGTTGTAAACAGGTAGAATGCATTAGGCAGTGATGTGGTGGAGGCTGACTCCATACACAGTTTCAAGTGTAGATATAATAGAGCCCAATAGGCTCAGGAACCTGTACACCAGTTGATTGACGGTTGTTATTTGCAAACGCTTCAGTCAGAACAAAAAACAAAATTGGGTCCGGATTCATTTCATGTAAGTTATGATGTTCGTTGTAAGTCGTGGCCGGACTGAACGATTCACAACAGCCCCATCCGGTTGACAAATATCCGGCCAGATGAGGGGATATATATAACCCCATTTCAATAGCTCTACTGTTATGAGTGCACACTCATGGCTGGCTTGACTCATGAATACTGCTGGGGCCAGATTCACGAAGCAGTTACGCAGGCACTTACGAACCTGGGGCCAGATTCACGAAGCAGTTACGCAGGCACTTACGAACCTGGGGCCAGATTCACGAAGCAGTTACGCAGGCACTTACGAACCTGGGGCCAGATTCACGAAGCAGTTACGCAGGCACTTACGAACCTGGGGCCAGATTCACGAAGCAGTTACGCAGGCACTTACGAACCTGGGGCCAGATTCACGAAGCAGTTACGCAGGCACTTACGAACCTGGGGCCAGATTCACGAAGCAGTTACGCAGGCACTTACGAACCTGGGGCCAGATTCACGAAGCAGTTACGCAGGCAACTGCGTAACTTAACTGCGTGCCTGGTCCAAGGCACATACGAACCTGGGGCCAGATTCACGAAGCAGTTATGCAGGCACTTGCGAACCTGGGGCCTGATTCACGAAGCTGTTACGCAAGCACTTACAAACGTGTACATCTTTCCTCAATCTTTGACGGCTTTGGTTACATTTATTAAACAGTTTACAAGCATGAAAACTTGCCAATCAACTGTTGTTATTGTTATAAACAGCCTCCTGGTGCTTCGGAGCTCATTAACTGTTTAATAATTGTAAACAAAGCCGCCAAAGATTGAGAAAAGATGTACAGGTTCGTAAGTGCTTGCGTAACTGCTTCGTGAATCTGGCTCCTGGTTCGCGCGCTGTGAATGGCCAACTTTTCTTTACTTGCGATTAAGAATTTGAAAAACGGGTTTGTTATTTGTGCAAAATATTTTTCAACTAATCATGTACAATCACTTCAACAGAAGATTGTCTTTCAATTTTCTTATCTAGATGGTGTGTCATCCTTAGTATGTAGTTTGTTGTAATGTGTAGAGGGGCTCGACCCAGTGTAAGGTATGTGTGCTCAAGTGTGTGTGAGTACTCACCTAATTGTGCTTGCGGGGGTTGAGCTTTGGCTCTTTGGTCCCGCCTCTCAACCGTCAATCAACTGGTGTACAGATTCCTGAGCCTACTGGGCTCTATCATATCTACATATGTGTTTTGTGTGTGTGTACTCACCTATTTGTACTCACCTATTTGTGCTTGCAGGATCGAGCATTGACTCTTGGATCCCGCCTTTCCAGCTATCGGTTGTTTACAGCAATGACTCCTGTCCCATTTCCCTATCATACCTAGTTTTAAAAGTATGAATAGTATTTGCTTCCACAACCTGTTCCCCAAGTGCATTCCATTTTTCCACTACTCTCACGCTAAAAGAAAACTTCCTAACATCTCTGTGACTCATCTGAGTTTCCAGTTTCCACCCATGTCCCCTCGTTCTGTTATTATTACGTGTGAACATTTCATCTATTTCCACTTTGTTAATTCCCCTGAGTATTTTATATGTCCCTATCATATCTCCTCTCTCCCTTCTTTTCTCTAGTGTCGTAAGGTTCAGTTCCTTCAGACGCTCGTGTGTGTGTGTGTGTGGCACCCTTCATGTACAGTAGTTTCCTGTGTGCAGTTTAATTATCACGTGTGTATGCTGCTCTGGTGGTCACTGCTCTCGTCGTCACTGTTCTGGTGGTCACTGTTCTGGTGGTCACTGCTCTCGTCGTCACTGTTCTGGTGGTCACTGTTCTGGTGGTCACTGCTCTCGTCGTCACTGTTCTGGTGGTCACTGCTCTGGTGGTCACTGTTCTGGTGGTCACTGTTCTGGTTGTCACTGTTCTGGTGGTCACTGTTCTGGTGGTCACTGTTCTGGTGGTCACTGTTCTGGTGGTCACTGCTCTGGTGGTCACTGTTCTGGTGGTCACTGCTCTCGTCGTCACTGTTCTGGTGGTCACTGTTCTCGTCGTCACTGTTCTGGTGGTCACTGTTCTGGTGGTCACTGCTCTCGTCGTCACTGTTTTGGTGGTCACTGTTCTGGTGGTCACTGCTCTCGTCGTCACTGTTTTGGTGGTCACTGTTCTGGTGGTCACTGTTCTGGTGGTCACTGCTCTCGTCGTCACTGTTCTGGTGGTCACTGCTCTGGTGGTCACTGTTCTTGTGGTCACTGCTCTCGTCGTCACTGTTCTGGTGGTCACTGCTCTGGTGGTCACTGTTCTGGTGGTCACTGCTCTCCTCGTCACTGTTCTGGTGGTCACTCTTCTGGTGGTCACTGCTCTCGTCGTCACTGTTTTGGTGGTCACTGTTTTGGTGGTCACTGTTTTGGTGGTCACTGTTCTGGTGGTCACTGTTCTGGTGGTCACTGTCCTGGTGGTCACTGCTCTCGTCGTCACAGCAAAGCACTGCTCGAGTAGTGTAAACACGCCATCAGCTGTGAGACGTGTGTAAACTGTCTCATTCATAAACAGCGAGTCTGACGGCTGGGTTAATGAGCATTTGGCTTGTGTTGATGAGGCCGGGCTGGCGCAGTGGGCTGCGTGTTGTGTTTATTCTTCCCTGAGATTCGGGGAATTGGGAGGAGTGGAGGAAGGGGCAGGAAGTGCCCCATCCCCCCCTCAAATAACCTCACCTATTTGCGCCTGCAGGATCGAGCTCAAACTCTTGGACCCCCGCTTTTCGTACCGTTGGTTGTCTAATGCAATGACTCCTGACCTGTTTCCCAATCATGCCTGCTTTTTTAAGATTTCAAGATTTCAAGATTTCAAGATTTAAGATTTTAAGATTTTAAGATTTCCTCTACAACCTGCTCCTTTAGGTCATTCCATTTACTCATTTACGAAGGTCATCTCACTTCACTATGACTCTCTGATTCCTGTCTGTGAGATATCTGTAATCCATTTCAGTGCTCGCCCAGTTCAGACCCCCCTAGTGGGGCACAAGCAGTTTAGATATTGCTAAGCTCAGGGTAGCAAAAGGTGCTCTCTAAAGCACCTGGTACTTTTCTAAAGCACCTGGTACTTTTCTAAAGCACCAAGTACTTTTCTAAAGCACCAAGTACTTTTCTAAAGCACCGGGTACTTTTCTAAATCACCAGGTACTTTTCTAAAGCACCAGGTACTTTTCTAAAGCACCAAGTACTTTTCTAAAGCACCAAGTACTTTTCTAAAGCACCTGGTACTTTTCTAAAGCACCAGGTACTTTTCTAAAGCACCAGCTACTTTTCTAAAGCACCAGGTACTTTTCTAAAGCACCAAGTACTTTTCTAAAGCACCTGGTACTTTTCTAAAGCACCGGGTACTTTTCTAAAGCACCGGGTACTTTTCTAAAGCACCTGGTACTTTTCTAAAGCACCAGGTACTTTTCTAAAGCACCAGGTACTTTTCTAAAGCACCAGGTACTTTTCTAAAGCACCAAGTACTTTTCTAAAGCACCAAGTACTTTTCTAAAGCACCTGGTACTTTTCTAAAGCACCAGGTACTTTTCTAAAGCACCAGGTACTTTTCTAGAGCACCAGGTACTTTTCTAAAGCACCAGGTACTTTTCTAAAGCACCAGATACTTTTCTAAAGCACCAGGTACTTTTCTAGAGCACCAGGTACTTTTCTAAAGCACCAGGTACTTTTCTAAAGCACCAGGTACTTTTCTAAAGCACCTGGTACTTTTCTAAAGCATCTGGTACTTTTCTAAAGCACCAGGTACTTTTCTAAAGCACCAGGTACTTTTCTAAAGCACCGGGTACTTTTCTTAAGCACCAAGTACTTTTCTAAAGCACCAGGTACTTTTCTAAAGCACCTGGTACTTTTCTAAAGCACCAGGTACTTTTCTAAAGCACCTGGTACTTTTCTAAAGCACCAAGTACTTTTCTAAAGCACCAAGTACTTTTCTAAAGCACCAGGTACTTTTCTAAAGCACCAGGTACTTTTCTAAAGCACCTGGTACTCTAATGTCTGCGAGCACCAGGAAATAAGTGTTGCCATAAATATCCAAAATTGGGCGCAAGTGACCTATAGTGTTGCCATAACTTGAGAAACGAAGCGTATTTATGAAAGTAGTTTAATTACTTCATAACCTTGCTGCCTGAACTTACAAGTTCTCTTAAGGTAAGCTGCTTCCTAAAGTTGTTAGTATAGCGATGATGTAGTGGCAACTTTATCTCCTTTGGCGTTGTTATTGACGTTAGTGGTTGGGTCGTTAAGTTCTTGTCAAAATATTGTTACTTTTTGGTCCACATACAGTACCAGTTGTGTGATTACTCCCTCACACACAGTACCAGCTGTGTGAACACTCCCTCACACATAGTACCAGCTGTGTGAACACTCCCTCACACATAGTACCAGCTGTGTGATTACTCCCTCACACACAGTACCAGCTGTGTGAACACTCCCTCACACATAGTACCAGCTGGGTGAACACTTCCTCACACATAGTACCAGCTGTGTGAACACTCCCTCACACATAGTACCAGCTGTGTGAACACTCCCTCACACACAGTACCAGCTGTGTGAACACTCCCTCACACATAGTACCAGCTGTGTGAACACTCCCTCACACATAGTACCAGCTGTGTGAACACTCCCTCACACATAGTACCAGCTGTGTGAACACTCCCTCACACATAGTACCAGCTGTCTGAACACTCCCTCACACATAGTACCAGCTGTCTGAACACTCCCTCACACATAGTACCAGCTGTGTGAACACTCCCTCACACATAGTACCAGCTGTCTGAACACTCCCTCACACATAGTACCAGCTGTTTCAGCACTCCCTCACACAGTACCAGCTGTGTGAACACTCCCTCACACACAGTACCAGCTGTGTGAACACTCCCTCACACATAGTACCAGCTGTCTGAACACTCCCTCACACATAGTACCAGCTGTTTCAGCACTCCCTCACACAGTACCAGCTGTGTGAACACTCCCTCACACACAGTACCAGCTGTGTGAACACTCCCTCACACATAGTACCAGCTGTGTGAACACTCCCTCACACATAGTACCAGCTGTGTGAACACTCCCTCACACACAGTACCAGCTGTGTGAACACTCCCTCACACACAGTACCAGCTGTCTGAACACTCCCTCACACATAGTACCAGCTGTCTCAGCACTCCCTCACAGTACCAGCTGCGATCACAGTTATAATCTTTGTTTTATAGTAAAATATATATCAAACGTTCAGAAGTGATTAGTATTATATTTTTGCACAAAGATTGGCATGAGTGTGGAACAATTTTGGAACAAGATTTTGGAACAATTTTGGAACAATAGTGGAACAATTTTAGAACAAGATTTTGGAACAATATTGGAACAAGATTTTCGAACAATTTTGGAACAAGATTTTGGAACAATTTTGGAACAAGATTTTGGAACAATTTTGGAACAATTTTGGAACAAGATTTTGGAACAATATTGGAACAATTTTGGAACAATTTTGGAACAGTTTTGGAACAAGATTTTGGAACAATATTGGAAAAACTTTAAAACAAGATTTTGGAACAATATTGGAATAATTTTGGAACAAGCAAGGCGCCCAACAAATATGTTGGGCGCCTTGCTGTGCCAAGTTGTGTCGACTCAGCAGCCTTCAGAACTAGGCACTCTTTGTGCGTTCGTTCGAGGTGGTACAGGACTCGTAATACCGAGATCAGATCAGCATCTATCCCTCACCTTGCGCGCGCACACAGGATAGCAAGTTAAGTGGCCCCGAACATGGATATCTTATTTGTATTTCGTTATAATAAAGGAGAAAATACCGCGGGAGTTTTGTACTGCGTTCCTTCCCACTGACAAACGAACTACAAATAAAACATTAAATAAGTCATTTTAAATGTAATAAAGTTGTATAATTTTTTTTACAGAATATTATTCTGAATATATGTCGTTCTCAAAATTGATATTAACAACCAGGAAACGTCTAATTTAAAGCATCATTTTTCATAAGTATTCAAATCCATTTTGACATTTTCATTAAAGGAAATTAGGAACTTTGGTAGTAAGGAGTTTTACCTCTCAAGGATTTTTAATTTACTGGGCACGACGGGCTTAAGAAAGATGAAGCGAGGCGTTTGGTAGTGTAGATTACATTTTTTAAAACCTTTTCTTAAGTGCAAACTCTATTTTGAAACCTCTTCTTGGATAGATGTAATAGAACACATCCTCACCAGACATAAATATCTCTTTGATATCCCCAGAGTCAAACTTAATCTGTGTAAACACTCTATCTTGAGATGAGATGATTTCGGGGCTTTAGTGTCCCCGCGGCCCGGTCCTCGACTAGGCCTCCACCCCCAGGAAGCAGCCCGTGACAGCTGACTAACACCCAGGTACCTATTTTACTGCTAGGTAACAGGGGCATAGGGTGAAAGAAACTTTATCAATTGTTCCTCGCCGGCGCCGGGGATCGAACCTGGGACCACAGGATCACAAGTCCAGTGTGCTGTCCGCTCGGCCGTCCGGCTCTTTGCAAATAAAGGGACCTAGTCTAGTCTCCTGGAAGTATACAAGTTTCCAGGCGAGGCATGTGTCATTATGTGTCTGTATGTATGGAGTATACATGCATAATCACATGATGTATCTATGTATAATTGAACCGTGAGGTATAGAGTCTAAGAGATCACGTCTCGTGTGGAAAAAGATGAGCTTAGGTGCTTTCGTAACAGCCCATCCTCCAAACAGAGATCCAAAAGTGATTCCATCCACCCGCCAACCCCCCCAGCTGTTTATGAATGAAAAACGGTTTACACACGACTCACAACTCATTTCGTTCGAACACTTCCGGAACAAGTGCTTCACTGACGAGTTTTGTTCGAACCACAACGCTATAAATGCTTCACCCACGTACTACAAATGCAAATAATCGCCAACAGAACCTAAACACCTAACCTAACCTATGCCTAAATATGCACAATATGCTAATATATTATAATATTAATTTATATTTGAGAAAATTCCCGTTTTGAATGAACAGCATGTTAAAATTTATGAATGCGTCTGTGGGGTCGACCTCTGAATGTAATGGACTTGAGTCGAGGACGGGTTGTTTCGTAAATAAAAGCCAGACTACTCAAGCTAATTGAACTTAGCGAGGCACGGATAAGTTTGAACTCGAGTGGAGTAACTTAGACTGTGTTTAGAGCCGCCGCCGGGTTAAATACAGCTGCTGATTAATAATTGAAATTCGTATATATTTGTTCCTGTACAGAAGAAGTGTATGCAAATTCCATCCCATTCCAGGGCGTAAATATTTTCTCATACATACATCTTGATCTAAGTTGATTTAGGGTGCAGGGCTCAGTAATTTTTCCATTTTCTTCGGATTTGCTATATGGTCTTATTACGAACAAGAGATCGGGAAACATTCAGTCCCCAAGTACTTGTGCTGGACGGTAGAGCGACGGTCTCGCTTCATGCAGGTCGGCGTTCAATCCCCTATCGTCCATAAGTGGTTGGGCACCATTCCTTTCCCCCGTCCCATCCCAAATCCTTATCCTGACCCCTTCCCAGTGCTATATAGTCGTAATGGCTTGGCGCTTTCCCCTTTGATAACTCCACCTCCCTACTTACATAAAAAAAAATTATTATTTAATTATTGTGATCCATACTCGTCAACTTTTCCAACAAAATTCTGAAATTCATTATACTTTTTTATTAAAAAAAAAGTATATTAAATTATGATATACTTTTTTATGATAGAAAATAAAACAAACTTTCATGGAAAAATAGA